TTTTCCCAACTGTTTTCTCCAACAGCATACCACTTCATCCCCCACACTCCCGAATCACCAAATATTTTCGCTCAACCAGCATACCATCAATTGTCCACCGCTGTTTCCAACTTTTCAGACCTCTTTTTCGCATTTGCAACCAGCCAACCACTCACCCCCAAGCGTCCAAATCTTCAGCATTCCATTTTGCAACGAGCACACCAACAGCCCTCACCCCCAAAAATCGCACCATTTTAACCGCAAAAACTCGACAGATTTTGCAATCTTCTTCACCAGCCCTTTAAGAACTGCACCCCAAAAGCCCTGTTCCACAGCATCAAAGCCAGCCCACTTGCCCCCCAGCAGCAACCATTGATCCACAGACTGATCTCACCACCCGAAAATAGGCAAAGCCCACCTCGTAGAAAATGCCACCGCCCAGCCCTCACCCTAGGATAGAAATCGATCTTAACATCTCACCACCCACCCTAGGATAACATCTATCTTAAGATCTCAGCCCCAGCAGGATGATCCCAACCCAAGTTACCATCTTAGAAATGCTCCAACACCCCTATCCAGGTGCCATACACCTAAATAGGCAAGGGGGTCCTTGTAGAACTTGGTTCAGGGGTTTGCAGGCCAGTTGCAAAAGGGTTAAGGGTTAAAATAACATGTTAATTTTAATATATAACTGCTTATGTATTGTAATTACACTATAACTATGTTGGCTAGGTTGTTAAATCCATTAAGACAAACTCAGGTATATTCAAAAGAGTTCTAACACTTTTTTAACGTCCCTAATGAATATATCTGGATTAAAACCAAATCGTTTATTTTACTACGAATATTATTTTTGATAATCATCCAATCCTCATATATCCATCTCAGACTTGTATATCTTCTTTTTGACAACTTCTTGAAGAGACTGTTTTTAACCCATGCGTAATAGAGAAAGTTATGCTTAATTGAGAAACTAAGTCTATCTACATCTCATCTACGTGTAGTATATTACGTCTGATGATTCCCTCTATCCTTTCTTCGTTGAATTGGTGTTTTTGACAAGCACGGCAGAAATGCAAAACCGTAGATATTATTGATAAGTCCGCTTGCGCCTGGATGCGCGGCGGTGCGAAGCCCACGGTGGTCCGGCCCCCCGGGCTGTAGCTTTGGGGCGCGAGCTAGAAGCGGAAACGCCTGCCCAGCTGCGTCGCGCTGTGGATCTGGTGCGGGGGGCCCGCTGCCATCGGGCATTCCGTGCTGTCCTACTTCAGGGCTTCAGGGCCTAGCGCAGGGCTCCGCGCACCCCCAAACCCCGACCGCCTCGCCCCCCGCACTAGCTTGGCCTGCTGGCGATGCCTTTGAGGAGCAATGGCCGCGAGATTGCCCAGCTACTGAAGTCCTACTCAACCTGGCGCTTCGGCGCCGGATTTCGGACGCCGCTTACCGTTATTTGGGATGGTGGCGTCGCTGGGACAGAAATCGCCTACTGGACCGCCTGCTTCTTTTTCGGACTTGCTGAAAGCTGTCTCGCGAGAGCCTCGTAACATGCAGGGGCAAGGCAAGCAAAGCCATCTGAGCCTTCTGTTGCAGATCAAGTCTGCAAAACCGAAAAGCAAAGCGCAGGTGATGCTTATTGAGTCACATGTTGCCCATCTGGCAATGCGCGAGGCTCGCGAAAAGCGAGGTAGGGAAGGTCGTCAGCAGTTCATTAACCTGTCCTTGGAGTACAGGGAGCTTGGCAGTTTCGTCGGCAACCTGTTCCAAGATACCGTGCTCGAGGATTGGACATCAAAGACGGACCCGCGGACACTGCAATTCAGATGTGTGACGTCGAGGTGGGAATCTGGCACTGTGAAGGTGCCGCCTGCCAATCAAACCATCCAGAAGATAGACAAGCTGAGCAAAGGCTACAGTGCCAAAGAGTTTGAGACCAACAAGCTGTATGCCCTGAGAGCAAGTCTTTTCCGGCCGCCGATTTTTTCTTTGTGCAGAAGCGAGATGATGGTTTCGTGCTTTGGCTCCTGCAAACAACAAACGGTAAGAAGCATGAGTTCAAGCTTGGGTCAATGCATGAGAAGTTCAAGAGATACTTCGCTGCGTCGGACTTGAAGAGAGTCTGCGCAATCAACTGGGTTATTGTTGCACCAAGTGAAGCCATCGCAAAGGAGTATGGCGCAGAGAATAAACCTAATGGGCAGTGGAAGGAGGAGAAGGTCATCTCCCCGAAGCAATACGTCTCATGGCGCAACTGGAGCGACTGAATGAAGTTCACGCGACAGAAAGGAACTGTTTGATGTGTGTGTGTGTGCATTTTAGGTGTATGGCACCTAGATAAGGGTGTTGGAGTATTTCTAAGATGGTAACTTGGGTTGGGATCATCCTACTGGGGCTGAGATCTTAAGATAGATGTTATCCCAGGTTGGGTGGTGAGATTTTGAGATAGATTTCTATCCTAGGGTGGGGGCTGGGCGGTGGCATTTGCTACGAGGTGGGCTTTGCCTATTTTCGGGTGGTGAGATCAGTCTGTGGATCAATGGTTGCTGCTGGGGGGCAAGTGGGGTGGTTTTGATGGAAAAGGCTGCGGAACAGGGCTTTTGGGTTGCAGTTCTTAAAGGGCTGGTGAAGAAGATGGCAAAATCTGTCGAGTTTTGAGGGCAAAATGGTGCGATTTTTTGGGGTGAGGCCTGTTGGTGTGCTCGTTGCAAAATGGGATGCTGAAGATTTGGACGCTTGGGGGCGGTTGGCTGGTTGAAAATGCGAAAAAGAGGTCTGAAAAGTTGGAAACGGCGGTGGAAAATTGATGGTATGCTGGTTGAGAAAATATTTGGTGATTCGGGAGTGTGGGGGATGAAGTGGTATGCTGTTGGAGAAAGTAGTTGGGAAAAATGAATGGAAAATGGAGTTTTGGTGTGTGGGGGGGGTCTATGTGCGATGCCATACAACTAAATAGGCAAGGTATCCTCTAACTAATTCCAACCCTGGCCACACGAGCAAACGCAGAACAACCGTCTTCTTCTTGCAGGCCTTCACGCTCCCACGCAAGTGGCTCGCACCGCAAGGGCCCTGGCTCCGGTGCCCAGGGTGTCGGTCGGAGCTCACAAGCAATGTCAGCCTTTACTTGTGGGCATACCACTTAAACGTAGTCTTCCAACAGAGTCTAACAGTCTGAAGTTGTACCTGCCATGCAGATTTGTTCAAGATGTCTTCGAATGACAGCTATTCCCCACATACCAGGTATGGTTCTGCATGAGTGGGAGATCCCCGCGGATGGCTTTCTTGTGAAAACTTGCAAGACGGCGCACTGCAGACAAAATCGGTAGTGCAAAAGCTACACGAAAGATGGCATGTACTCGCACTGCCGTGGTTGAACAAGGCGGAAGCCGCCAAAAGGACAAGACGGAGGCACAGCACGAGTAGGGCGGAATGTGACGCAATGCAATTCGTACGCTCTAGACCCGAAGACTTGGGTTTGGCTGGCAGAGCCATGGTTGATGACGTTTGTCGCGCGTAATTGTGCATATGCGAAATATGCATATAACTCACTGTTGGCTATCTATGTGTGATGTACGTGCAGCTGTGTACACAGAGAGAGCCGCTGGATGTGTATCATGGGGCCGCTGGATGTGTATCATGACCTCATGAAAGCAAGATCGTCGGCAAGAGCTTATGGTGGTGCGGAGTGGGGGTGGTTGCAGATGGCATGTTGAAGGCCTGGATGTCATGAACATCGGGCGAAATTGGTGGCGAAACGAGATAGCTTCCTCGTAAATTCTATCTGCTCCCGGGCTTGCTCCAAGACCTTCCCCAAACTGCCATGCAAGGAGGCATCCACTGCGGAGGCTGCCGAGGCCCCAGCGCCAGCAACGAGTCCGACAAAGGAGGAGGCATCGGACCCGTTTCCGGGTTTCGGCCGGGGGAATCATGGCTTTCGCCCATCGGCTTTTGCGCCCAGCAAACTTCGACGACTCCTGTGACCCGGTTTCTCGAACAGGCAAGCTAGATCAGCACAAGGATGAGAAAGAATAGCAGCCTGCAGCCGAGACAAACATTATGGATATGTGAGCAACCAGCATTGCGGACTTGTGGCTAACTCAATTTTCATACGTTCCGGTGTATGCGATTTGAGTTCGCAGTGCGCCAGGCAAAGAAAGAGCCAGACGTGCAAAAGGCAGCCAATTCTGGAGATTTCAGCCGCAGATACATCCTGATTCTCGAATCTAGAAGTGGTCTGCGGCAAGTGTCGATCCTTTCGTTGCACAATGCTCACCCACAGTCAAGCCTGAGGCCCTGGACGTGCTATAGTGCTATAATTTGCTGCACATCGGGTTTGAGCCGCGACAATTCAACCAACCTCAGGCAGAACACCCGCACCTGGATATCCTAAAGTTTCAATGACCAGGTATAATCAAGGAAGGCCACATCATGAAACACAGCTATCAGGTCAACCAATGCCGCACAGACTTTCTCGTGCATGCTGAGACATGCTTGCAACACTGGAACAGAAAATCAAGCAGCCCTTAGTTTGCCTCCGCAAATCCGTGGCATGATTGACAGAGCGATCACTTGATCGATCGGATGGTCGTAAGTTGGGTCGGATGAAGCTATCTAGTCGTGGTATAGCTGTTTTCCTAATCTCTACTTGAATCAATTCGCGAAATAGTTCGCAAGTACCTGTTTGAATCAGTTGAGGACTGTTGCTGATGCATGGGTGTGTCCAGGTGTGACTGTCGATATGTTTGTGACCCTGTATGTAATGCACTGCAATTAACCCAAAGGAAATGGAATGTAATGCATGACATGTCGCGTAAATGTAGCATAATGCACTGCGATGCGTGCACAGGGTATGTGCATGTGCATGTATGAAGGCATGCATGCTGCACTTGAACCTCGTCGAGTGCGAGTGCCAAAAAACTCTTTTTGTTTGTCTCGTCCTTTGTCGCTCTTCGTTTGACTGCATGTCTTACTCCCTGCCTCGATCTGTCTGTGACCATGGCGCAAGTCACCTCTCTTTCTGTGCGCACATGTCAGCACGCACAAGCCATTGCAAACACATGCAAACACGTACACATACGCTGTGCCAGCTTGACATCTCCCGGCGCGGTGGCTTCTCTGTGGGCCAGCGTGTAAAGGCGGGAGGGTCTAACATTAATTTCCTTCATTTCAGCACCTCATGGCTGGGCAGATCAGGGTCTTTGAGTTACCTCACCAGTCGGGAAATCTGGTGCCAGAAATCTTGCACTGCGCCAGGCCCGCTACCTTTCTGGCAGCTTCTACACAGCCACGATCGAGGTGCTCATCCTCTGTGCCGCCTTGAAGAAGTCAAGTCACTGCCAGACTGCGAAGGGATTGTGAAGGCCAAGGGCCCCTGTGCAGGGCTTCTTGGCTGAGGGCAAAGTGCTGCTGCAGTGGGCCGATGGTGATGCGAACGACCGGAAGAAGTCGCCGGAGGTTCCGACGAGTTCCGCCTGCTGACAGTGTCCCTTTTCTGATTTTTACTGGCGGAGCATGGAAATGAGCGGGTCAGTTCTTGTGCACATGGCCCGAGCGCACGCAGGAGCTGGTCCCCTGCGATGCATCCGGGCATCCCTTGGGTAGTGCTGCCCGTCTAAACTTGCTTTCGCACCGTGGCAGACCATGATGTGATCCTGCCGCTTAGACATCGTAAGTCCAGAAGCCGTGAAGGGTCCAAGGATCAAAGGCAGCCCAGAAAAGTGCTGCGACCGCCCCGAACTGTGCCCGTGGCGTTTTTCCATGGCTTTGTCGAGGCTGCCGAGGCCGCTGCGCGCCGGGACACCAAGGAGGCACAGACAAAGGTCGAGACGGAGGCAGGGTGGCGCAGGGTGGCCCAGGGTGGCCCAGGGTGTGCTGATGCGCCGACTTTGTGATTTGCCTTGTTGCTTACGAGTTACGGTGCACGCGATGGTCGGTCTGGAGCTGCAGCTCTGCTGCTGCGTAGCTGTTGGAGCCGGCTTCTGAGCAACCTGTGCTCGCGGACCTTGACTGAAAAGCACTTGCAAGCTTTGCACCGGATGCCTCTCCTCAATCCTCTCTTCACTCCCTTTCCAGGGAAGTTCAAATTGTGTTGCTCATGATCGGAGGCGCCGGCGCCTGCACCGCCGAAGGCAGAGCTGACGCCCGCAGAGCGGGCCCAGGCTCTGCAGAGTGGCAGTTGGCCGAGAATCTGCACAAATATGAAACAGTGGCTACTGTATACTGCAATTTCAATATGGCATGACCACAGGCCATTGACAAGATAGCCACAACAAATGCGCTAGGAAGACATGAGCAACGCTTTAACAATACTTGAAGCATCTTCTTTGCGCCTGAGCTTGTCTCCAAGCTCCTGCTGTTTCTCGCCGTGTTCCTCCTTACCTCTCTTCTCGCCATCACCCTCACCATCCGAATTCATGATCCCCGTGTCCTCCTCGTCACCACAACACGCAGAACTGCCGCCACCACCACCACCATCATCCTCAACACTGTGCAGTTATTTCATTACCATTGCTATGTATTATAATTCTATTTAGTTCCACATCGGTAGCATGTAGAAGATGGTGCCGTACATGTGTGAAGAATGAGGGTGCAGGCAGAGAAGAAGCACCAGGAATCCGCAAGGGAGTCGACGGACTTTTTCGATTCCTGGGATCACCTATCGAAGCATCCGGCCAGGCGGAACGGATCCGCGAGTTCCAGCGCCAGCGCCAGGGCGGAGAGCCAAAGGCCAGGGACATGACATCAAGTTTGTATATGTTGCAACAAGTGATCTGTTAAACATGATGTCGCAGATTGTATATCTGGCATTTGAGAAACAGGATTTAATCCTGGTGGTACACCGTCGGAGGAGGAACAATGAAGTGACGAGGGGAATGCCTGCGCGCGCCAACTCAATGCCTTCACACTGTGGGTGCTGCAGTGTTGCAGCAGAAGTGGGCTGTTCCCGGTTCGCAGTCGAACACGCAGCAGTGACGTTGGCACAGCGCAGGCTCTTGGAACGCTGAAGAGCTGTCGCGTTGCTTCGATGCCTCGACCTTTGCAGGCGCCTGCCGAGCCGGCTCCAGCAGCTGCGCCAGCACCGCTGCTGCAGAAGGAAAGCATCACTGTCCCGCAAGTCCACAGATCTTGAACTGTTCCCATCTCCTTCGGCTTTGCTTGTGTGCTCGGATCATATCATGCTCCCTGCCCATGGAGGAGCCTTCGGCCGGAGAGTTGCCAGCTGCAGAGCGGCAAAAGCTGGAGGCGCCGCAAAGTTGAAAGGAAATATCGGAGGCTTCGAGACAAACCGGACGGAGGAGCTTTGATTCGCTCGGTCTTTCCAGAATTCGGCTCGTTTCGGCTCTCACTATCTGTGAGAGATCCCACTACTGCCGACTTTGCCCAGGGGCTTTGCACTAGAGTCACTTTCAGCACTGGCCTGCCTGGACTTGGCACCCACCTTCCGCCCGAAGACGGCGACGGTCGTTGCTTGTTCATTCTTGTTGCCAAGCGTGGCTCAGATGCAGTCTGCAGCCTGTACGTGTTCTGAGCAGCCACCCTGTTTCACTCTTGTATAGCTTTGTCAGGACTGTTTGGCTTGTTTGCTTATCGACCTTCGGACCGTGAGCAGCCGCGCTGCCTTGAGACTGAACCACGCCAAAATAAGCACGCGACACGAAGAACGAATTTGATAGCATCAACACGGACCAAGAGAGGCCAGGGTCGGCCAACATTCGGATTGCACTCCGCCAGGAACGGCTGCAAGTGCTGCGGGTGCAATACTTCAGGCAGGATCTGCAAGTTCGCCAGCATACCGCAATCAAGCCGACATCTCCTGCAGTCATATCTTCGATGCTAGCGGCTAGCGGTTGACGATGTGCCGCATGGTGAAAGGTTTGTCCATACAGCTACCATCAAGGAAGGACTGTAGTGATATGCGTGTGGGAACCTGCGTGACAGGTAGTGCAATCCCTGCCTCGTGTTATTTAGTTTGTTTACGCTTTCTTGGAGTTGATTTAAACTTGCATTGCCAAGCTGTTTGCGAGCTTCCTGCACTCTCACTGGTCCGACTGCGGGCTTGTCCCTGGTGTGAGAGCGTAAAACGCAGCAATGCGAGCTCGAGACGTGATGAGTTGTAGTTTCCCTGATGTCCGACAGTTTGCACCCCCTGATGTTTCAGCAGCTTCCCATTCCACAGCCAAATCATTTGGTTCCCCAACTAACCAGCGAGCTTGGCCTCTAACCCCGGGCCCTGGTCGGAGGCTCCATGAGCAGATCTCCGCAGACACCGCCTCAACGGAGACCGTGCAGATAAAAATGGGGGAGGGGTCTGTGATGTGCACCTATGAAGATAGCAATCAGCCGAACAGCTATATCTGATTTCCTTCCAGGGTCGTGTCACTGATGACGTTCAGGGGTGACGCTTCGTCTTGTCTGCGGGCACGGGAAGATGAGAGTCAAGTGGATGCAAACTTGACACCTGATGCATTGATATGCAGCAATGTGCAGGAGAAGGAGATGCAAGAACTGGTGTCGCTTGGCTTTTTTGCAAGGGAGGCCGAGGACAGGATGTCGATCTAGGGAAGAGCCAAGCAAAGCAGATGGTTGACTGATGCACACGGCCCGTGTTCAATCCGCAGCCAGTCAACAAACAGCTCCACACCAAACAAAAGCCTGCCTCTGACAGTTCGGTGCGACGTGCTAAGGCAGAGCGGCGCCGGTGAAAAGGAGCTCATGAACTTCCGTTTCTGGTCTGCGTAAGCGATTTCCCGATGTCGTTTCAATGCATTTAGCTGGTACTCGGTGGAAAACTCCAAGTCATGTGGACTTGGAAACTCCAAGTCATGGGGAGCTTTATTAAGTATCATGCCGACTTGCACCTGATAGACCTAGCCTGGCTTGGTCCGAGTTGTGAGAGCGTACGAAGCCTTTTCATCAGGAACGCGTAGACTCCGCACGCGTGAAAAGCTTGAGATTCACGGGAGGCGTCTAAGTTATGAAAGATGTCTGCTGCTTTGAGGCAGTGAGCGCCTGAGTTTGCAAAGTGGCCAGCGGCTCGCAGCTTTGCAGATCTCGACACTTGGGCGAACTAGGCAACTTTGGAACTGGAGAGTGCCCAATGCCCAGTGCAGACGTTGTGTGTGCGTGGTCGGCAAAGACTTATCAACATCAGGCAGCTGCGAAATGGTTAAACTCGAGTTCGTGTTGGCTTGAGTGTCAGTACGGTCTTGGGGATCAGGCATCAGACAGTCTTTATCATCCGTTCAACACAGGTGGGACCTTCGACTGTAGGGAGAAGGAAGACGCACACACAAACACGCACACACACACACACACAGACACACGCACACACAGACACACACACACACACACACACACACACAGACACAGACACACACTGTCCGACCGACCGACCGACCTGCCCACCTACCTACTGCACATGTGCGTACAAACTGTATCCGTACATGTGTTTGTTCTCGAGCCCCAGGAAACAGATCAGCGAAGTGGAGCAGAGACCCGGCAAAAGTTGGCCTCTACGGTTCATGGACAGCTCTCTTTTGCGTTACGCGCACGGATGGGACAGCCCGTGGAATCAACATCGTAAAATGCTGTGGGTGATGGCTCGAGCAGTGTCGCGAGTATCGAGGAAGTTGAACCCCGACCGCGGGCTCAGGACTGCAGGTGTTGAAATTTCACTGGGCGGTTGCTTTAGCAGGATGTCGACGAACAGTGCATCGAAACGCCTCAAGCAACATGTCAAGTTCTGACAGATTCAAATAAGCCCTTCTGAGCAACACGGGAGTTTCTTGACAGTGTATTTTAATGACAACATGGCCTGTTCTCAGCCCTGCCGAATAGACCAAAAAGATACATCTCAACGTTCCTGGTGATTTTCCGATCATACATAGCGCCCCAAGCCCAGCCAGTTCTATATTTGCCCTCGTCAACTGCAAGTTGTGGGAACTGGCTTGATGCAATTCCCTGCATCAGGAGCGAGCCAGAAACGAACGGCACTAAGGCCAAGGAGCAACGCCAGTCTTCTAACATGGTGATCGAGTGATGCATAGTCTGCCGGTTGCGGGCTGAAGTGGATGGTGAAATCAGATTGTCATGCCTGCGTCGTGCATAGTTCATATGTCACCACTTGCACCTGCGCCTGCATGGTTCGCTCCTTTTACAGTTGTCGACCGTCGTCACTTCCGACTAGTGCAACAGAAGCGGCTCGAGTGCTGCGCCCTACGTCGAACGTGCTGCCTCAGTAGAAGGCCTCGCTGCGGATCAGGAACTAAGTCGCTTTTGGGATCTTTGAGGGGATGGGGTTGCTGGTCAGAAGAGCCGACGACGAAAGCTGTTGGTTGACCCCTGTGCAGAGAAATCGAAATCAGTGTGTCCTAATGCGGCAAATCGTCTCAAAATGCTCTGGAACTTCTCAAATAAAGGGGGTGGTTGGATCCAGGAAGCTTCAATTCTGGGAAGGGTTCCCTCTCTGCTAGCAGATGGTGTAATAGCAGTGATTGAGCTGTCTCACAGGAAGATACATCAGTTGAAGAATCTGTCGTCCGCTTCAATATCTGCAGTTGTCTTTTCGTCCTCTGCCCCTCCTGGTGCGATCTCTAAAGAGGCCCATGCTTCTGGAATCCGGCTTGAGGCCCGGCGCATGATGGGCGGCTATCCTTCGGCTTCGTGTGCTGGGGAGGACCGCTCCCCGTCTCGCAGGCATCTCGGGCCAGCATCGTTTTCTGGGGCCCTGGGCTTACGAGCAGATCTCCGAGCAGCTGCTGTGTAAGATCTGTAGGCCAGAAATTCAGCTGGCCTTTGGTGCATGAGCTGCTTTGTCCTGTGGCTCATGGCTAGCATCTTCGACTGGGTCCTCATGTATGTGTAGTGGCTCTTCTCCTGTGCGCCATGTCCATACCATGCTGCAACCAAGTGTCTGCAGAACGTCGCTCGAAGATTAAAGGTTAGATTTTGCCCATTAAATGACTGGTGCCGCCGAAGATCTGCTATCTTGATTGGGCCGCCTGTCCTCCATGTCAAACCGTGCAACACATGTCTCGGGCACGGTTTGTTCGAATGTGTGCATATACGAGTGCTGGTTGAGATCTCGAAGTGTTTGAGCCGCTGACACTCTTTGTGCTCTTGAGCGGCAGGGTGGTTCCTCCCGAACCCCAAGATCTGGCACAGGCAACTCGACATGCCTGGCATATTTGCGCCTGTGGCCCCGGAAGTGGGAGCTCGTGCAGGCCGGGCATGCAACTGAAGAAGCGTATCCCCGGAGTGAGGGCTGTGCATGGTGATGTAGTGGCCGACAATTCGACAGTGGCCTGCCGACTCACTGCAGCCAGAATCTGCATACATACATGTATGGTTCTATATACTCGCATACACGTGCGCACGCGCATGGACGCGGACGAACATGCACTCATCTCGCATGCGCACACGCACACACGCACACACGCACACACGCACACGCACACGCACACGCACACGCACACGCACACGCACACGCCCACACGCCCACACGCCCACACGCCCACACGCCCACACACCCACACGCCCACACACCCACATGCCCACACGCCCACACGCCCACACGCCCACACGCCCACACGCCCACACGCGCACGCGCACGCGCACCCGCA